CCCAGACCAAAAAATCCACCCCCACTCAGTACTGTGTCCGGTGGCTTCCTGCCTCGCAGTTGGCTTATGCCAAACCCACTGGGCAACTGGCGGCCATTGACTTTACACAGCACCCTTGTTATTTTTGAGCAGCTCAGGAAAAAACCCACTCTAACCGCCATGCTCTGTCAAATCAGGAAAGCTTTTAAATAGTCTCAGGAACAGCCAGACCTGTGGAACGTAGGGGCCATCCAGAGGGAGAACCCTAGCAACTACGAGGAAAAAAGAGCTTCAAAACCAAAAACACCCCCCGCCCCAACCCCAGGATTTATGTTGGCCTTGCGAGGCGCATGTTCCCTGATGATGAAGTCCTTGCTGAAAACGTGCTGCCACTTCCCTTGAGGAATGGCTTCCAGAACCAAGTCATACACAGTCCGAGAAGACCTTATATAGTCAGGACTGCTCTCCTCCAGAGGGGCTCCCCAGCTTGTCTCGGCCTGCGTGCTCACCAGATTTGGTTCCTTTCCCAGATGAAATGTATCCTCAGAGGAGGTGGATTTTGATATTCTAAAGGATGCAGTTCCCAGATGGTTGGGGAGTAGCTGTGGGGGGAGGGGCGGTACAAGGAGTGTGGGGGGAATTCAGGGAGGCGGGGGAGGCTAGCAATCCTAGCATCATTAGAATAAATGAGGGGCCTAATATGGTGTGCAAAGCAGCCAGGGAGCATGTGTCCAGATAAATCCCTCATATCCCCTTAGTCTCACCTCCGGCCATGAGAAAACCTGAAGCACAGGTCAAGTCATTGTGACAGCTGGAGAGCGTTACTCCTGCATATTTGACTTTTGAATGCCTTTAGGGGGTGAGTAGTAGCAGATTTAGCTGTGGTTATGTTTGGCTTGGGGTTGACAGCCGTGCAAGTTAAGTTTATATTGACTGAACATTCACTAAATGGAGCTGAGCAGGGAAGTGGGGGAGGGGGGTTGGATGACTCCACCCCCAGCCTGAGTCCCTGGAACGTGACACACTGACTAGGATGCTGAGTGCATGAGAAGCAGCCATTTGGAAAGCTGCTTTGGGGGTGGAGGTGGTGGGGTTTTTGTTTATTTAAGTCATTTTATGACACTGAACTCTACTCTTCAGATTGCATCCTTGCCCTGCTTGAAGCTAGAACACAAAAATGCCATCATCCCGTGACCAAGGACCAGCCTTCAAGCTTCAAGGCTTAGCGTGGGAAGTAGGACCTCCAGGTCTCCCTGCCCCTGGGCACTTGCTTTGGTTTCTGACCCGTAGCCTCCTGGGAGTGCTGCTGTTCTGTACCACTCTGGGCCTAGGGTGACTCTTATCTCCCCTCCAGTGGCTGCGGCAGTGGCATTTGCAAGGAGTCACAGCGGCCCCTTCGCCGATCCGCTCACAGGTGGCGCCTAAGATCATTTCCCTCCTTCACCGTCTGCAGTTGGCCAGGTCCTCTGTTGGTGGTGGGACGGCTGCAAGGAACACTCCTCCTGGCCCTGCCACAGACTAGCCTGCGACCTTGACAGATCATCTCTAGGCTTTGGTTTCCTGAGAGAGGGTTGGGTCAACTGTCAGTTAACTAAGGTTCCTGTGGTCCATCAGCTGATGCCCAGTGGCTGTTTTTAGAGCTCTCCTCAGGGATCCCAGGGCCGGAACATGAGGCAAAGCTTAGGGGCAGTGATGGCTCCAGCCACCAGAGTTGAGGTGTGTGCCGAGGGTCACCCTGAGGTGCCCTTCCATCTTCCTCTTCTTTTTTAGGGTGCCATTCAGACAAGCCCTTTGAGGGGCAAGCAATGCTCCACACCAATGGGAGAGGAGAGAAATGTCTCCTTTATCCATTTGTCTTCACCTTCTTAGGCTCCAGAATTGCTTACTTGCTTCATCTTAAAAGTGAGGACGCTATGTCCGGTGGCTTCCTGCCTCGCAGTTGGCTTATGCCAAACCCACTGGGCAACTGGCGGCCATTGACTTTACACAGCACCCTTGTTATTTTTGAGCAGCTCAGGAAAAAACCCACTCTAACCGCCATGCTCTGTCAAATCAGGAAAGCTTTTAAATAGTCTCAGGAACAGCCAGACCTGTGGAACGTAGGGGCCATCCAGAGGGAGAACCCTAGCAACTACGAGGAAAAAAGAGCTTCAAAACCAAAAACACCCCCCGCCCCAACCCCAGGATTTATGTTGGCCTTGCGAGGCGCATGTTCCCTGATGATGAAGTCCTTGCTGAAAACGTGCTGCCACTTCCCTTGAGGAATGGCTTCCAGAACCAAGTCATACACAGTCCGAGAAGACCTTATATAGTCAGGACTGCTCTCCTCCAGAGGGGCTCCCCAGCTTGTCTCGGCCTGCGTGCTCACCAGATTTGGTTCCTTTCCCAGATGAAATGTATCCTCAGAGGAGGTGGATTTTGATATTCTAAAGGATGCAGTTCCCAGATGGTTGGGGAGTAGCTGTGGGGGGAGGGGCGGTACAAGGAGTGTGGGGGGAATTCAGGGAGGCGGGGGAGGCTAGCAATCCTAGCATCATTAGAATAAATGAGGGGCCTAATATGGTGTGCAAAGCAGCCAGGGAGCATGTGTCCAGATAAATCCCTCATATCCCCTTAGTCTCACCTCCGGCCATGAGAAAACCTGAAGCACAGGTCAAGTCATTGTGACAGCTGGAGAGCGTTACTCCTGCATATTTGACTTTTGAATGCCTTTAGGGGGTGAGTAGTAGCAGATTTAGCTGTGGTTATGTTTGGCTTGGGGTTGACAGCCGTGCAAGTTAAGTTTATATTGACTGAACATTCACTAAATGGAGCTGAGCAGGGAAGTGGGGGAGGGGGGTTGGATGACTCCACCCCCAGCCTGAGTCCCTGGAACGTGACACACTGACTAGGATGCTGAGTGCATGAGAAGCAGCCATTTGGAAAGCTGCTTTGGGGGTGGAGGTGGTGGGGTTTTTGTTTATTTAAGTCATTTTATGACACTGAACTCTACTCTTCAGATTGCATCCTTGCCCTGCTTGAAGCTAGAACACAAAAATGCCATCATCCCGTGACCAAGGACCAGCCCCTTCAAGCTAAGGCTTAGCGTGGGAAGTAGGACCTCCAGGTCTCCCTGCCCCTGGGCACTTGCTTTGGTTTCTGACCCGTAGCCTCCTGGGAGTGCTGCTGTTCTGTACCACTCTGGGCCTAGGGTGACTCTTATCTCCCCTCCAGTGGCTGCGGCAGTGGCATTTGCAAAAAGACTGTTCACTAACAAGGAGAGCGAAATACTCCAAGTGAAGGTGACATTAAAATAGCCCTAGCTTTTCAAAGTCCAGATTTTCTGGGGTTTGTGCATTGCTAGCTCACTCTTCTGGCTGGAGCCTGGGAGACTGTGGGTTTAGTTTTGTGGAGAGGTGACCACACAGCTGTGCTCTGGGTTACCAAGAACAGGGGAATCAGAAAAAGCCTGCGAGGCAGCCGGTGCTCATGGGCCCAGGAGGTTCCCCTGTGCGGGGAGGTTTTCCTCTCTAGGGAAGGAAACACACACACACACACACCTCAGTTCTCGTGACTGCCTTCTGCCCTCTAGTGTGGTGGCCCTGCTTCACCTGAGAAATAAACATGTGACCGCCCCCTGTCCCCGACTGGGTTTATAAGAGGTTTTTAGTAATCACTGGGCCGTTACCAATTCCTCATCAGTGAATCTGATTTCAAGACGTTGATTCTAGTTAGTCGATACTAATACACACTCGTAAACTCCTCTTACAATGACCGTAGTCACTGTGCTGCCCCTTCTTGAAAATGGATGTGCTCATACGAAATGAACTGCAGTGAGATGTGAACCATGTAGATGGAGCACTCCACCGCATTAGAGTCACACTGAATTGGGG